AACCACTGAGCTGTGCTCCTTCTTGTTGGCTTGCTGCGGAAATGATTCACGAGAAGGGTATCTGATTAAGCTGCATCCAAGGTGAGGCATATCAAAGAAGGATTTCCAAGTCTCTAGTGGAAATGTAATTGCTTATAACATTAAGTATACTTCGCATCTGCTGAATACGCTCGTCTTTTAGATAAAATTTAATAATATTCCACAAAAAATGGATCTGTGAAATCTTTTAACTATAGTCTGCCACACCAACCTTAACTTTCTAGCAAGACTGATCTGAGGATCATGATCATGACTTTAAAAAGACTTTCTGTCAGCTCGATAGTGTATTCGTTATAAGGCTTTCCCATCCCTATCTTTAATATTTTCAATATTAATCCTTTCCTTAAAGTATCTACGGGGATGTCAATGCAAAAAAACAAAAACCGGCGAAATTAGGCAAAGGTAAACTGCCGGTTGGAGCCATGCAGTCTATGTCGTTTCTCGTTGGTTTTCCCTTAAATTTTCCGGGCCGACCTCGCCCGCCGCCTGTCCATACTTAAAGGTGACACGACGAACTCGTGACTCGTTTGCTCGCGTTTTGTTAATTACAATTATGATAATGAATCTTGCAAAAGGCTAATTAGTATGGTAAAAATGTTGCCTGCCACAAGGGTTGCGAAATTTAAAAGTGTGTCCACGTTGCTGCATGTGGCAGCTTTTTCCTTCAAGTGCCACAGAGTGTCGGTGTCCATGTTTTGTAGGGGAAACGCATTAAGTGCAACGCAATCTTAAAAAGTACTTTTTTGTATTTAATATTATATTTTAGTTCGTATTTGTGTTAAGCTTACGCTGATCAGCTCATTGATTTTCTATTCCATTTCCGAGTTATTGAAAGCGATAATATGTTGTTAAAATAATTATAAATTTGGCGGCTATGAGGCTTCATAAAAGCTGCTGCTAATGAAGCTTTATTTAAATCAAAATCGAAACCACGATTGTGTTGACATTTGGGTTACACCTACACCCCGCTTTCGCTTCCCACACGCGCACATCAATGCTATTACAATTATAAAACATTAAGCGACGATGAAGAAGCGTCAGCTATTCATTTAATTATGAAGTTTACAAATGTCACACGGGCTTATTCCAGTGTGTGTTTGTTGTGGTTTGTTCCCTGTGAATGAAATTAATTTTAGACATTTTCCATTTATTTAGCTATAATTGGGCGAGCGGCTTAAAGCGAGTAGAGGAGTGCATTTCTATTGCTATTTCTGATATTTCTTTTTCGCAAAATCCATTGTTGTTTAAAGTTCAAACAAATGATGGGAAAAATGTGCGACTAACTGCGACTTGTTAGAAATACCAGGGCTGTATAACTATCATCCGTGTCTTATTTGCAGTACTCCCTCAATGGGTCCAATTAAGTCGTGGCCTAATCTGCTCGATGTCAAGTCCCTTAAGCCTTGTGCCTTACAATCGACATCCGAATCCGTTGACTTTTTAATCGATTTAGGAGCCACCGCCGACGGCAGTCAACGGATCCTGCAGTCGACACATGAATTAGCCTGACAATGGGCGATGGCGATAACAGGATGCGGAAGAAAAGGAGCAGACGTTGGAGAAAAATACGGAGAAAGAAGTGGAGCGACCGCTGAATTTTTCAGAAAAATGTTTCTCCCCTGCCAACAAGTTGTAGATTTTCATTTCGATTTCGATTTGCGTGCAGCTCAGCTCCTTCAGGTCACAAATTGCCGTAGCATTTGCATATGGCTATGGTTGGGAAAGGGTGGCAAAGGGGCTGAAAACTGGGTGGAAAACTGGCGAACACAGCATTCGATGCCTGTGCGCGACATGCACTCAACTGAAATCGATAAACAGTTTGGCATTTAATAAAATCCACATCAGACCATTCCGATTCCCCGATTTTCTTTTCTTGCCCTGCACTTTTCCGCGCATTTTTGATGAACAAAAGTTTGCCACTCCGCCGCATCCGCATTTAATTACTTCAGGTTGTAGTTGAGCATTAATTGCCTGAAGTTCTCGGATCACGACCAGGGGGTCCTCTTGATTTATCGTGCGTTGACGGCTCCTTCGCTTTTTACCCTTCTGGTCTTTCACCATTTTCCTCTACCACAACTCGAATCTGCTCAAACAAGCGACTGGAAAAGGGGAAACAACTCATGTCTAGATATGAAGGAGTGTGTTAACACCGAAAAAAACATTTGGCATTTATGTACTATATAGAATTCTTTGTGATTAGTTACAGGTTTCCGAATCTAAACTACCTACTTACTCGTGTCCAATTTTTCCCGTAAGCATTGCGTTACTGCTACCTACTTTCAAGCACTCGCTTATAGAGTTCTGGATTGATTTATACGATTTTGACGGATGTTCCGGATGCTCTAAATTTATAATAAATCGCGGAAAAAATCTTAATAAATACCTCCCAAAGGCGCCAAGAAAATATTTATTATCTTGTGAAATTTCTCAAGTTGCTAACCAAAGATGCACAATTTTCGTGTAATAATGCGTTGCGCCAATCCACACATTAGAAATGAATTTCTTTTTCTAATTTTGAGATTTTTTCTCGCAGTGTCACAACCTTTCCGTCGGCTACGGCAATCTCAATCCCATCTGTCTGGCCTGCAGACCTTTAGCCAACTCGCATTAAATTCGTACGAATTTCAACATTTAGCATATTAAGCGGGCACGGGTTACATAGGACAACGGATCTGGACAGCGGACACTGGACACTGGACTCTGGACTCTGGACACCGGCTTTGAATCCGTACTAAAGCTCGTCGTCTCGCTGCCGTGCACTGCCGGATACTTGTGTGTGTGTGTGTTGGGGGGAGGGGGAGGGGGCAGTGGACAAGCGGATGTTGTGCGATGCTGTTTATGCCTTTTACATTTTCCGCCGTAATGAATTCAACGTAACAGAATCCCGGAACAGAGGAGGGAGGGACAGCAGCACACTGTGAAATTTCTAACTTCCGCTTTTTGCAAAGTTGACAACATGTCTGTCCGGCTGTCCAGCTGTCCAGCTGTCCGTTGTCCGGCTGCCCAACTCTCCGGCTGCCCAGTTCTCCAGCTGCATGGGTCTCCGGCGGTACAGCATCATATGCGTCTTGCCAACAAACCGGCCGTATGTGTCCTTAAAGTTGGCTTAGAGTCCCGACCCATTAGTGCGCGGCTTAACTAATTCCGACTGCAAAGGGGAACTTTGAACTTTTTAGTAGATCGTAGCTGAGCACCGGTTACATTTCATTTGTGGAAACATCGTTTGCCTAATCAGATAAGAGCACTCTTAAAGATGCACTCGGGAATTTATAGGACCATATAGGAAAATATATTGAATCTTTTTGACCACTTTAATTTATTTACATTACAAATATATTATTAATTAAATGTTTACAGTGAAATTTTCAATTTGGCAAAGTAGAAATATTTTAAGAGGCTGGAGAAGCTGGCATTTGCAAGGTGAATTCCACGTGTTTTCTTGGGTTAACACGATAAAGTGTCGCCGCAGCAGCACCAAAAGGAATGGACCCAAGTGTGGGTCGCTGTGGCCATGACTGGAATCTGCGTCAGTTTCCCCTTAACTCCAGCCGACCGGAAAATCCGTAACAGTAGCCCCATCAGCAACACTTCAAATTAAAGCACAACATCATAAAAAAGCTACTACAAATTTATTTGAAATTATTATTTATAGAGGGGCAACCAGATTACTAACAATATTTGGGAACTGACTTAACAAAAACTGCAGGAACAACATCGATGCTCGTTATTACGAGCTTCGTATTGAGAACATAAATGAAAACATTTTAGCAAAATCACAGTAGATTATATTATATATTATGTATAACAAACTGATCATCGGCATTTAAGTGTATGAAAACAGCAGAAACCACGATTGAAGGAGAATCCTGTCAAATACCAGTATTCGTCATACCAACAATAAGGATGCGAAAAATAAGGAACTTAAGGATATTCAACGGAAGTATCAGCTGAAACGAAGGCAATATCATCAGCTATATGAAGTCGACAAAGATGCCACATATTTAGCAACCAAAACAACATCAGCAACACCGGCGATAAGCCAGGAAACATGGAAGACAAATGCTTTAAGCTCGGGACAGCAGTATCAGTAGCAAAAGTGCAACACCTTCGAAAGCAGAAACAGCGCAGCAACAGAAGAAATAAGCCATAACAACAGCAGCAACACCCATCGCTGGTATGAAAAGAAAATATTAAAATAAATTTGAATAAAAATTTCTGCAAAGATTAAATCGCCATTTCCAAGGGCCGACGTCGTCCGCATTTTCCAGACGTTTTCCTCAACACCCTTAGCCGCCTCGTCTCGATTGTGACTGCTCGTCTGGCTTATTGTTGCAGCTTTTGGCCAATGTTCGCTGGCCCTCCAAAATAAAACGTATCCGTTGCGGATTTCACACTGCCCCAGGAGCAACATCCATCCCTCGCCTTTGGCAGGTTTTTAATTTGCTTATTTGTTGCCCTTCGCTGGCGTCCTTCCCTCGTCTCTTTCACCTTTAAACAATTCACATGCGGCAACAAATTTCTGTTTCCACCTCCATGTCTCTGAGTTTTCCTGAAATTTCCCCTCAAACAAAAAAGTGGCCTTTGGTCATCTGGTGTGTCCGCGGCTGGGCAATAACAATAAAAAAGTTAATTTAAATACAATAAACACAATCAAGCTTTTCAGGTGCCGCAGGAGCGAGTGAAGGGGAATTTAAATTCAAATTAGGCAACAAAACAGTTCATCTTTTTTGCTAGCGTTGCTGCTAAAATAGTATAGATGTAATGTGTTTAATAACTATGTTAATTAGTGTAATACTTTATTAAATTCTTATTTTTTTCAATATATTATTCCAGAAAATATAACTGATAAAAGGGTTTTAAAAACCATCATATGTAAATGTTATAAAAAGGTATTCTCCGGTTTCCAAAACATGAATTTAAAAAACTGCAGAGTCCTCTTTTTTTAAAGTTGCAACACTGACTTTCAAATTAGGATAGTGTTTATTTCTATTCTATGGTTATCTTAGGTTTAGCGAAATAGTTTTGTCTTCGACGAGATTCTGACGGCGACTGAATGGATCAGAGTGGCCGTTTTTTTTTTTCTCTAAACTTAAAATAAGCCCTAGATTTGAGCACTCAAATAATTTTTTTTTGTTTTTGGAAATGCCTGCTCGCGGCGCCGCTATTCCACCGACAATTTTCGTTTTCCTCTTTTCGCCTCATTCCGCCACCAACTGCAATACAATTTGTTCTTGTTTCTTCCTCGATCATCCTCTGACACTAACACTGGAATTTATTCCTTATGACTTCTGATTTCGCTTTAAAGTTTATTTCGCATTGGACTACCTTGCGGGTCAGTAAAACCAAATGATGATTTGGTTAGCAAAAAAAGGGGTTTTCTTTCTCTCATTGAACAGCTCGAATCCAATACAGAAGCGTCACTACTTACAGTGGCTCGCAGCTTATTTCCTGCAGCCGAAAAGTGAAAATTTAAATCGTTATTATTCCAGATTTTGAATTACCTTCTCGGGGTTTATGGCCAATGCTTTTAAAACCTGAACTTTCACGTCTGTGAACGAATGATAGCTAACCATTTTTATTCGAATTTTAAAATGAGCCAAGTACTGCCAATTGAAGCTCTTGTTCTCTTCTTGTCCGGTCCGAGAGAGAAAAGTCCAGGGTTAAGTTCAGTTAACATAGGGTATTGGCCTCAAATGCGCTTACCCTGAACTACAATTCCTATACGCTAGAGCAGTTGTATCCAGAACTAAACTATTCCCAGTTCTATCCTAAAAAGCCTAGGTTTGGATGTGCGAACACTGGTGTAATTCCTAGATGCAGCTGTTTGATATTGATTTTTGAATGCTTCTCCTTCAGACTAATCTTCGATTTGATGTAAGTCCAATAATTCAGACCTCTGAAATTGGAAGCCACATGACCAAGTTCATGACAGTGTTGGGTAGGGATGAGGTGAGATGCATCCAGGACTACATTTTAGCGAGTGCACAGCCGAACTCGAGGGCTATTCCAAGTTCTGACTTAAAACAAAGCCAGGGTTTGGGTGTGCAAACACTAATGTAGTTTCTGCATGCCGTTGTGAAGATTAAGTTTAAAATGCTTCTCCTCCTTCACACTAATTGGATGTTCCTCAACACTCCATCGTCTCCAATCAATGCCTCAGAATGGCCATATATGTGAGATTCTTCCTGGAGATTCATTTTCCTACAAATAAAATGTCAAACTGTCATAATCAGTCGTTTAATATGAAAATCATATGATGACCTTTTGGAAAGGTAAAAGGATTGTCTTCCAAGTCATAATTTCATTCCGATTCATCCCTGGAAATCATTATCAGCGGCACTTCCGCCAACGGATCCAACTTTCTGCAGTCCCCACAGAACTATTGTTCCTCTTTGAAGGCCAACTTGTCTGTCTCGCAGATAACTTTCCCAAAAAGAAGATTTGGATCGCATTAATAGGCATTGCAACCAACCTGTGTCTGATTCGCAGCAACAATCCGACATCTTCTTCAACGCCATCGGCAGTGGGCCATAACCGTCGTGGGAGTTCAATTAGTCCAGTGGAAGTGATAGATCTGTGCCTGCTAGAGTATGTGCTACCGATGCGATCCGATATTACTGACTCTCTTGCTTACAGCTTGCAATGCAGACGGGGCATTTGTGGCAGACCTCCCTCTGTGAGAGCTCCGGATCGCGTTGGGGCGGAACTGAACTGTACAGGGACGACGATTGGATGATAAAGTAAAGGAGTCATTATACTACATTAGAAGCTGAGCTAGTTGGAGCCAGTTACATTTTAAATGCGGACACGTTTTTTATCTTACACGAAATAAGCTGTACACTTTCCCTTCTTGTAAGGTCCAAAATGCCACTGCACTTCAGACGGTGCACTTCAGAACCCATGAACTGTTCCAACTTAACACATAACTTGAGTTTTGAGGTGCACCTACCGGTGTAGCTCCTGGATGCAGCCGTGAGGATTGATTTCTTAATGCACTGATCCTTTTGCTTGTTCCTCAGCATCCACCCCTAGCCTCCGATTCTATAGAGATAATCCGAACCTAGAAATAGAATGAGAGAAGGCTCACTAACGCCTTCTCTCATTCTATTTCTAGGTACTCTTTTGATAGGATTTTACACTTTTTGGCATTTGGTTAGTTCTTGTGGCCGAAGTATAACTGTACCGGGCATGTGGCTTTTGGAAATGAACTAGTTTTTTTGTGACACTTCTAAACTTATGACAAAGAAAGCCAGGGCTAACCAATTAGATATTTCGGTTATCGATATTTACGAGTATATTCGATAAATAAAATTTAAAGAATTGCCGAAATGAAGGTGAGTTTTGCAACATTTGTTTATTGTTTTATGTCTTAATATTAGTATTAAGAAGCAAACTTACTTTTTACTGAGACATCATTGATTATACTACTTTACATATATGGAACAGCTTTCTTTCTTTCTTCAATTATACATTTTGGTTTTGATACCGTTACACATTTACAATTTCTTGTTTTGCGAACTTCTTTAATTTATTCTTGCATTTAATATTTGTTACTACTTTCTGTTGGAACCGAAATAGATCTTTACAAAGAACAAACTATCTTTTCAGAGACATTTCAAACGCCCTTCTTATATTAGTATAGGTAGTATAGGAGTATGTGTCAGCTATCTGCTTTTTTTCCACTTTTAAATTTTGTTTTTGGGACTGGAAGGTAGAATATATTTATACTATTTTCGTTTTAAAAATGTTGTTTATTTTTTACTTTTGTCAGGACCGTATTAGATCGTTGAACTAACTTTTACTGGGACTGAACAAACCTTAAGACAAAATTAAATATAGTTAGGCAAACCATAAACGGATTTTAAAACACTGTGATTATGATTGAGGAATTCTGGAAATTGAAATGGTCCTTGCCCATGTCCTTGTCCTGGTCGGTGGTTATAGCGTGGGGGTGCCTTTTCATCAGCACTGTGTGCCGCTGTTTTTAGTCCAGCGTTTTAAAAACGAACATTGGGTTTACGTCTTTTTACGAAACCAAAGTTTCTTTAAAAATATCTTGCTAAGAAATGTTTCTGGGAAATACTATAAATTTATATATATGTATATCCGTCGTTACTCTTAGAGTAAAAGGCTATGTTGTATCCGTTGAAGTATGTAACAGGTACATCAGTGTACATCTGCAAGCCAACACAAAAGCGTCACTAAGTATGTGCACGCTTCCTTGTATTTGTGTTTGTAAATTCTTTACCGTGAGACTAATTTGAGCAGCGTGTTTTAAAGAATTGAGGCAGAGACTAGAAGGTGTGACTGCTCCTGGTGACTCTGGCCACTCCACTACCACTACAAGACCTCATATAACATCCCGGAAGGGGTACCATTGTGCAGTGAATTAAATAAAAGTAATAATAAGTAGAAGAATAGTTACAACACGGAAACTAGAAAACTTTATCCAATAGCCACGGCAATAAGTTTTTCAGGGTTTTTTTTAACTAAATTCAGAACTATTATGAAATTTAAAAAAAATTCACTGGCGCCACCTGTTGCTTGCTTGAACTAACTATGGCATGTTTAAAAACCGACCGTGAAGTCAATGCCGATGAAAGACTTTATAGCAATAATTTCTTAATGAAATATTGCTTAGATAAAAAAGTTGAAAAGTTACAAAATTATACGGACAGTCGGACATGGCTTAATCGACTCGGCCTGATCCTGATCAATAATATATGTATGCACTTTATTGGGTCGGATACGGTTCCTTTCACCTGTTACATGCTTTCCAACGAAGAAATTATACCCATTACTCTACGAGTAATTGGTATGGAAATGATTGCCGCGCTGAGCTCTATGGATTAAATTTCTAAAAATAAAAATTGTGCGCAAAATAGTTATTAAATGTCTTGGAAACAAACTGCTTTAATTTGTACGTCTTACGAATTCTTACTTTGGCTTTCTTATACGCTGAAGCTGCTTTTTTAATAAATATTCTCCTTATCTCACCAGTGAAATCACAATTGGTAAAATCAATACAAGCCGAATGTTATCAAGCGGAAAAATCACTTTGCGGTGATTGGGCAAATGCTGATGAAAGTCCGTGGAAAACCAGTGCAAGCAAGCGGAATGAACTCAGATGATATTCAATTGACTAGACTTCTTAGGAGAAATCGCATTTTCAAAATTCCAAATTATGTAAGGGATAATATGAAAATATCTCCACAAAAATCGGAAAAATAGCTTCAATCAGCAAAAACTACTTCTTTCAAGCGGCTTTACTTCTCGGAATGTACAACGAGAAAGCTTATTACAAAACATTACATGGCTTCCTTGGCCAAGATGGCTGATAAAGTCAAAAAAGGTTAAGCTTATGCGACATAAGCCACAACAGAAGGTAGGAAGTAAAGCTAACCATCTCACCGTAAATGTTAGCTTATAATCACTAAATAAAAGCGATATTATAGTTAAGATAACAAATAAAAATAGCTTTATTAATTTTTTAATTATTATTATTATTATCATTAAATTATTCCATCAGAAATTTACATTTTTGTTGTTGATCAAAAAGCATTTAAAGTGAAACCAATTCAGCAGGCATATCTGGATACCTAACACTGGATTCATTTTGTGGCTTTCCCGAGATCTCAGCTTTCAGGCAGATAGATAAACGGACATGCATCGGGCTTTGATCATGATAAAGGAATACATTGAATATACTTTATAGGGTTGGATATCAAGGGTCAATATATTATTTTTCTCCTTTCATCGAATACATTTTATCTTTACCAATAAGAGAAAAACTTTCTAATGTTATTCCTGACTTTCGACTTACTTTGTTAATCATTTCTGTTGACTTAGAGAACTATCACACATATGGATTTACAATGTTATCCTGTCGAATAATATTACGTTAAACTTAATATGCGTACATATTATGTTTAGAAGTAGTAGTTTTCGTTCCTCCTAGTTTACCTATAGTGTTTGCAATCCCATATTGACTTTTTCTGTGATTCATAAAAATATTTTATCTATCTATATATATATATATATAAAGAAGAGGAAACGCTATAGTCGAGGGCCGCGACTGTTTTACACAATTTGAAAATAGTCATTTTCCTAGTGAAAATTCCCAAAGCGCCACCTATTGTCGGAGAAAGCATGTCCTTATTTTGTTTTTTTTTTATGGTGTCACAGGTTGCGGTTTTTTACAGTGTCTAATTTAAGATTATTTTGGGTTTTAGGTTGTTTGGTATTATATTTTATGGCATGCGTGGTTTCATTTCAAATGTCAAATTAGTATTAAACAACAATTACAACATTTGTTTTTTTCAAAACAGTTTCTATTTTTATTGCAATTCAAATTAATATAAAAAAGTTCTTTTTTATTGTACGATAAAAAGTAAACAACAATTTAATTGAATAATTTGAGTACATTTCTTTATAAAACGTGTACGTTGCATAAACCCCAAGCGCAAGCGAAAAGAGAGTTTCGGGCCTTAGAATCAGGGGAGCTAGACATAAGGCTAGAAAGCCTTCGAGTGCATGCCGCTGAGACCTGTTCGTCTGAATCACCTGAACACCGGAAAGTAAGGCTAGAAAGTTATCGAGTGCGAGATGCTCAGGCCCTTTCGTCTGCGACACATAAACAACGGGAAAGTCGCCGCCAAAATGGTTCGATCAAGACGTAGTGTTCGCATTGATTTAAATCTTGCTGCATTCCCTTATGACAGGAACATTGACTACAGTCTTCATCCAGGTGTCGCCATTGGAAAAGGGGATAACACTTGCACGTATTGCAGGGCACTCAAGTTTAAGAACGAAACGCCAGGGATATGTTGCGCCAGTGGAAAAGTCAAACTGCCATAATTTCATTCACCACCTGAACCACTGTCATCGAGGCTTTCAGGCGTAACACATGATTCAAAACATTTTTTTAATGGAAAATTCAAAGGTGGAGACGTAACGTTGCCACGTATCCCTATGATTCCGACGGATATGCCATTTGAATTCAAACGTTTGCAGTTCCCGCTGCGACTTGCCTTCGCAAAGACTATCAACCAAGCACAAGGAAGAAGAAGCCTCTCTAAGTTTAGCCACCCAAACGTTGGTATTGAACGCTTTCACTTTATACATATGGAAATGTAAGCAAAAGTGGTAATGGAGGATTAATCAGAAACCGACTTTCGGCATTTGATAAAATCAGAGCGTATTCAACCGATAGGAATTTCGGTTCATCACTGTTTATTAAGAAACTGCGCTTTAAAAGCCATACTGTTTGATAGACGCTCTTTTAAACCTATTCTGAGTTATTTTGTTGCGGAAAAACACAGTTACTGATCCAGGTTCTGTTTCCATTTGCTTTCGTTCCACCTGGCAGTGTTTGGCCCCAAGATAAATGGAGCACGAAATGCTTTGAGGCGGCATTAAAAGTTTCCTAGTCGTCTGCAGTAGCGCCAACTGGCGGGCGGGCCGAGAGGTTTGGCAGGCATAAAAATTCATTCGCCTAATGGCTCGTCACTGCAGCAAGGGTATGGGCCACGCCCTATTCCATTTGTGTTTGCACTTCTATTGGCAACATGTGGCGCTTTTATTAAAAATTCATTTGCTCATCATACACAGACAGCCGGAAGTGTAGGAAGAGTCGGATGGCGGAGAGTGGCGCAACGAAAGGGACGACTGCACCGATGTCTGACGATGATGTCGGTTCATCTTGGCGGCTTTGGCCCCCAACGCCTCTTGCCAACTCTTTTTGACCTTCAACAGCTGCCACATTTTCATGCGCATTCCTTGCAGCCACCGCCTCTCGCGACGCCCCCTCACCTGTCTGTTTGGAGACCTTTTGGCCAAAGTATTTTGACCCGCATACATCGAAAGTAGCCGAGTGATGGATGGATTAATTCCCCGCCGAGTCTGTGCAAAATTTAAATGCCGCAGACTTTAAGAGGTACATTTTTAAAGTATGTTCGAGTTCCCACTTTGAAGTTGATATTCATTATCAATCATAATTCACTTAAACCCAAACAAAATCTTCATTCATTTATGTGCAA